TGATGTAACCTAAATAAAATCATGTATGATGTGATGCAAAGGACTATTCTAAAGCTGATGGGTGAAAGAAAAGCTCTCTATTGATTAGTAACAAATCATCCCAAAACTTAGGACAACAATTTGTTAGCCTGCAATTCTGTAGGCCAGCAGTTTGGGCCAGGACCACTCCTGCTGTGGAGATGGGGCAGCGGGGAGTGGGGCCACAGTGGCATCCCTCACATATTTGGCACTTGTTGCAAATCCTTAGTTGAGCCTCCTTTTGCAGTGGGTGAGCCATGTATACCTTTGAAGAAGCCTGGAAAACAATGCAGGACTTTAGGTCCAAATCATAACTTTGAAGATGCAGAGGGTAGAGATTGATAGATGGCTTTATTTGCACATTTTAGTATGATTCCTCCAAGGAAGGCAAGTGGGTTCCATCTGATGCATCAACTGAATCCTGGTCATAGGGCCAGTGTTTGATGAAGGGGAGAGAGAGCAGGAAGTGTGTAATGAGTTAGAAGTACAGGAGAGAGGAGGTAAACAGTACACCTTTATTATGGGAACTGGTGGACCCAGAAGGATGGGGTCTTGCACTTGATTTTTTTCCAAGAAGTCTGATAATAGCAAATAGACCTTATCTATCTGCAAAGAAAGACTCCTTACATTTCTGAGATATGGCTGATGTTTAATAAACTCTCTACACAGGTTGTAGCTTGGGAACTGCTGGCTCACTACACCAAGCACCAGGAAGAAAAATCCCTCTTTGGCTTGTTCCAGAACTGGGCTTCATCTGTGGGTGACAAGCTGACAACCAGGTACACACTGCTCAGAGTGTCACAGTCACCTGCTATCAGTATCTTATTATTGAGCCTAAATTTATAGAGACTTGTTATGGTGTGATTTTGCTCTTGTTGAAATTTTTAAAGTCTACTAGTATATGCAAAAAATAGTGAATATGCCAGGCGTGGTGGTGGTATACACCTGTAATCCCAGCACTCTAGAAGGCTAAGGCAGGAGGACTGCAAATTTGAGCCCAGCCTGGGCAACTTAGTGTGATCCTGTCACAAAATAAAAAATTTAAAGGGATGCAGTGTGAAGGCCTGGAGTTCAATCCCCAGTACAACACACACATATATAAAAAGTAAATATGTAAAATTAATGTTCATGCACCCACTACACTGCCCAACATGCCTTTGTTTGAAAATTTTAGTATCAGTTATGTACAAAAAGTATTGAATATATAAAATTAATGATCATGCACCCACTATACAACTTGCCAACTAAAACAATTCCACATAGAAGTGGAATTTTTCTGTTATAGAGTATTCTAATATTCAACTTTACTAGATAGTGCTAAAGTATTTTTTTCAAAATTGTAATACAAATCTACAGAAGCATCTCTTCTGTAGAGCCAGACTTCTTAATTTTTGTCAGTGCAATAATAAAAATGATCACACCAAGATTATAAATTGCAATTTATTTGGGGCTGGGGTTGTGGCTCAGTGGTACCGTGCCCACTGGGCAAGCGTAAGTTTCCTGAATTTGATCCCCAGTACCAGAAAAAAGCTTTTGCAATTTCTATGTTAAAGGAGATCATGATTTCATTTCTATTTGCCATTTGTATTTCCTGTTTAGGAAATGCCTGGTGTGTTTTATGCCCATTTTCCCCATTTTGTGTATTTGTGCCTTATTTTTAATGATTTTGGGGTGTTTTTTTGTCCTTTCTTATTATATATACTGCAATTATCTTTTCCAAGTTCATGGCTTCCCTTAAACTTTATGGTATCTTTTGATGAACACAAAATTTTTAATTATACAATTTAAATTAATAACATCACTCCAGGCATGGTAGCCTATGCTTGTAATCTCAGCACTTCTGAGGCTGAGGATTGCTGTGAGTTCAAGGCCAGCCTCAGCTATATAATAAATTCAAGGCCAGCCTAGATTACACTGTGAGACTCTATCTCAATAAACAAAAAAAGCATAATCATTAATTTTTAAGCTATAATTTATCACTCTTTTATGTTCAGTTTTCTGTGTTGTCTACTCTGAGTTCATGGAATGTGTATTTTCAAAGTTTGAGAGTTCACCAATCCATTGGAAGCTTTGTGCCTATGATTGAGAAAGGAATCTAATTCCATTTGTTCTCCCTTCATCTGTTTTTTTAGCATCATTTAATGAACTGACTGTCCTTTCCTAGTGGATGGTAAAGCTCACTTTGGCATTTATTAAATTTCTCCATAGGCAAGAGTTCATTTGGGGGCTATTTTGTTGCTGGTCTGCTTGTGTATCCTTTATGTAGCAACACACTGTTGTAATTATCCTGGCCTTATAATAAGATATTAGTATGATATCACATTATTATATCTGAAATATAATTCATGATTATCTTGGCTATTTTGTACTTCTATAGAATTTTAGGAATCCGTTTGTCATATTCTTCCAAAACAAAACAAAATCTTCAAACACAAAAAGAAAAATTTAAGAATGAGTTAATATGAAGTACCTAGGTTGTTCAAATTGGTAAAAACAGAAAGAAGAAGGACTGAGTGTTACATGGACTGAGCAGAGGACACAAGGAGTAGCTATTATTTAAAGGGTCCAGGGTCTCAGTTTGGGACACTGAAATATTCCCAGGGGTGGATGTTATAGGTGCATGAGGGGAATGTGTTTAATGTCACTGAATTTCACACTTAAAATGGTTAAAATGAAAACACTTTGTTAGTATAGTTCACTAAAATTTCTTAAACCTGTGAAAATTTTCTTTGAAAAATGGATTAAATCTTTATACATTTGCAGAAAAATTGACATAGAAATATGTTTTTTCTCAAAGATTTTATTTTCTAAGTGTCTTCCAGAGTTTTATCATTTTCTCTATACATAGTGCAACCTTTAATACACTTATTACTACTTAGTTTATAATTTTGCTGTTGTTCTATAAGAATATATTTTACATTGTATTTCATAGTGTTGCTGGTTTATTACACATACTGTTAGCTTTTATGTGTAAACTAGGTGGTAAAGTTTTCTTCTAAATGTGTCTATAAAATCTTTGTGTTTTTTTCCATAAATAGTCATACCATTGGCAAATAATGATTTTTTTTATTTCTTCCTTTCCCATTGTTACTTTTTATACTTTTCATGTCTTACCTGGGTGTAGGGCCTCCAATTCAGTTTGCACAGAAGTAAACATAGAAGATTTTTTTGTCTTATTCCTGGTTTTAAAAATAATTAATTTAACATTTCAGTATTAAGAGTGATGCTTGCCTACCTCGCAAGCGTGAGGACCTGAGTTTGATCCCCAGTACCAAAAGAAAAAAAAAAAAAGAAAAAAGACTGATGCTTGCTGGAGTTTTTGGCAGGCAGTTTACTTCCTAACGAAATTTCATTCATTTCAGACATTTTTGAAATTACCAAATAATAAATTTTATTAAGTGAGTTTTTTGCATCTAGTGAAATGATCTTATTTTTAATTTATTCTATTAATTTGAGAAATAGCTTTTATAAGCCTTCTAACGTTAAGCTATCTCCCATGCTTAAGAGGGACATGATTATGTTATGCTATATACTCATCTCTCTGTTTTCCTGGGCTGGGCTTGTTAGTGTTAATATGCTTAAGCTTATAATTTTTAATTTTTATACCTCCCTAATTTAGATTTAAATCAAAGTTTTACTGGTCTTTTATAGCTATTTTGGGAGTGGTTTCTTATTGTGTGAAAGAATTCAGTAAATTATTTGAAAATGATTGGTTTTAATCATTTAGCTCATTAAATTGTTTTAGGGCTTTTAGGCTTTTTCTTTTTCTGCCAGTTTTGGTAAATTGTATTTTTCTAGAAATTTATCTATTTGGTTTTTAATTTTTTGGTATATGTTTCTACTTTCTATCTTTTTAACTTCTGTTAGATCTGTGGTTATATGTCCTTCAAATTATCTCCCGTGTCTTTTAGAAAGACAGTTGTTGATGTTGCTTAGTCTTACCAGATGCTTGTCTGTCTCATTTTTTTTTCAAACAACCTACTGTTTGTTCCTTTTGTTGATTATCTCTGTTGTACCTTGTTTCCTATTTCATTGTTGCATGCACAAAAACAGTTGTTTTTTTTTTTAATTTTATTCTAGTATTGGAGCTTACTCTTTGCTTTTTCTTTTGTGTTCTTTTATGTCTTTTTTTTTTTTTTTTTTTTTTTTT